TGGGGCGGGGCGGGGCGGGGCAGGGTAGGCTACCCCCCCCAGCAACACTCACCCTTCGATGTAGCTCCTATCTGCCAGGAAGTCATTGAGCACATGGAGGCCTGCAGCCGTCTTGAGGTCCCCGAAGCCCATAACGGCGGTAACTGACTCGAACCAGGCAGCGTCCACTGCGTAAAGAGAGCACCGCTCCCCCTGCGTCTCACTTATATAGGCGCCGGTGGAAGATTCCTTAACCGTTTTGTTTCGTCACTATAGTGTCCCTCCGCGGAGAAGTAGTCCCCCTCGCCTTCCGCTCCACTCAGAGCAGGGAGAAGGCGTTACCGGACACGAACATGAGGAAACAGGGGTAGAAGGAAAGGTTTCAACTCAGGACCGCGTTCGGCCCGCTCCACTGCGGGGACAGGGATTTTCGAAACCAGGTTGCAAGGAACTGACGGAAAATGCCGAGAGCGGGTTCCGGAAATTGCCGAGGGCCGGCGGCGGGTGGGAGGAGGCTGAAGCTGCCGAAGCCGTGTGTTCCGGGGCGGACACCGCCAAACCCGCCGCTTCTGGGGAGTGACGGAAACTGACGAGTCGCTGCCGGAAGGGGACGGGAATGGCCGAGGCAACGCGTCCCGGGAAGTGACGGAAACTGCCGAGGCTGGCGCTGGGGGTGGCGGAAATAACCGAGGCGGCGTCCGAGGAGTGACGGAAATAGCCGAGCCGCAGCCATCCAGGCCTTGCGAGCCGGGGTCGCTGCAGTGGTCGTGAGGGTCGCGCTGCACGGCAGCTGCTCTGCTGCTCCTCCGCGCCACGAGGTACTGGGCGGGGACGCGGCCGCGGTGGGGGGCCGGGCCGGGTCGGGCCTGCTCGCTTCGCCTGCGCCCCGGCCTCTCCGTGCCCTTGACAGCCGGAGGGGAGCGTCTTTGCGGGGGCCAGCAACGGCAGCAGCTTTTCCTTAAGTCTGAGTTTACTGTGAACAATGTATATATTTTACTCAATAAGTGTTGTAATGGAAAACTAACACAATGAGAAGTTAGCCCCCAGGTGGTTTGTTTTGGGTGACAGGGCAGTGCTGCTGTAGGAGGGTTTGGGTGTTGTAGCAGTGAGGAGGGCTCTTCTGTGATCTCCCACAGCGTTTCTCAACCCGTGGGTCGCGACCCAAAGCAGGGGTGCAAGAATATACAAAATGGTTGTGAACAAGCTTTAAAAAAGCATCGGTCAATTTTTAAAATGGATTTTCCTTTAAAGGAGAAAAACGTGGGAAACTGGCTTTTCCCTTGCTGGCTGGCAGAGCTGCAGCCTGTGGGGGGTAGCTTGGTCTAAACGCTGGGGGTGGGGGGCAGCAGGCCAGGAGTGAGGGGCATCAGGACTGGCCACTTAGGTTTACAAATGGGTCCTGGTGCAAAAAAGGCCGAGAACCACTGTCTTATTGGACTGGCTGTATTGTTAGGGCAGAAGTTGGACCAGCTTCAGAACTAGAAAAGAAGGTCTGCCCTCTCCCCTCAGTCCTCAGGTGGTCTCTGTGCTCTTTGGGGGCACAGGGAGAAGTGATTGTTTTTGCCTGATTCGGCCCCAGAAAACACTCTACAGCCATAACCAAACAGAAGTGAACAGCTGCAGATCACTTCAAAAGGAACCACAACAGTCTGAACCCTCATTGCATGAGGGGATGTGGGTCAGATGAACCGTGTTACATGAGGGTTCAAATGAACATGCTCCAAATCAGAGTATGTTATATAACTTTCTGCAAAGCTCCCAGCCTGTTGCTGTTTTCAGAATGGGAGTGGGGAGAAAGAGCAGAGGGAGTTCGGTGTGGGTTTTTTTCGGCAGGCATTTCGGGATGGGGTGGGTGGATTGGAGCTGGGAAACTCCAGAGTTCCCTGTGCTCCCCTCTCGTTCTCCCCCCCCCCCCCAAAAAAAAAAACCCCCCCCCCGGCCCGGGGGGGGGGGGGGGTTTGGGCGGGGAAACCCCACGGTGCCCCTTGCCCCCCCCCCTTCCCCCCCCCCCCTCCCCCCCCCCCCCAAAAAAAAAAACCCAGCCTCCAGGCCGGGAGGGGGGAGTGGCATTGCTACAGAAACTGGGCTGCGGGTCTGCAGCACGCAACTGGAGTCCCAACTCCTGCATCCAGGACCCAACAGCAAACTTCTCTTGGGTCCAGAGTATCCTTGCAACTCAAAGTGCTTCCTGAAAAGCGCTATGAGTTGCAATGGGGAGCTGCTCTTTTGTCTGCACCCTGGAAATGTGGTCAAAGCTTAGCAGAGAGCTGTTGGATGTACAGTGGGGAGCTACAGAAATGTTAGTGTTTTCTAACTGCAGAAATTTGAGGCACTAATTGCTCTCTTGTATTTGCCAGCACCATGCTGCGACTACCTGCTGTCCACAGGGCCTTAGCTGGTGTCACTCGGTCCAGCAAAGCATGTGGTGAGTTTGCCTTTATTTTATACATTTACGTACACTGATGCACTGTGTTTAAAGAAAGCATTGAATGTTTGGACTATTATATTATGTGTAGAGGGGCTTCCTATGCATCATTGGGTTTTAGAGAATGATCTACTAGCTGTGGTTGTTTCAGATCATTCCAGTTATTTAACTATGAATTATTTTTGTTAGTGGTAATCCTTCAAGCTCTTCATGTTTTGATTTTGGTCTCCCTGGAGGACAGAATTTCATAGTGTTCAATCCAACACTCCACTTGTCTTTGTTTATCAGTGATGACATTTCTGTCCAAGTCTTACAGTGGATTTGTTTTCTTCTTGACTGGACCAGTTACTTGCTTGATGCTTTCGTATGTTTTGTGGCTATTTCCTGCGTCAACTGCTTTCTGAATATGATCAGAGTTTCTGCCAAAAATCTGGGGCACACCTTTTAGCCTCCTTTTGCATTTTTCTTGGAGCCTTTCTCAAAGTTTCCAGGGTTATGGTTTGGGAGATGACTTGCAAATGGTTAGTGCTGTCCTTTTGTTCCCAACCAATGATAGAAGCATTTAAGAGTGCTCTTAAAACTAGTCTGCACTTTTATCTTGCATTTCCTCCCCACCCCGCAAATGCTGTTATAGCAGCATTGTACATGTTAGTCTTTAAGCTTCCACAAGCCTTGGTGGATGAGTTGTTAGGTAAAGTTGTTTTCACAGCTTCTTCATTGACTAGTTTGCATCTTTAGTTTGGCTGATTATCGATCTGAGGATGACTTGCTACAGTGGATCTTTTTAGCATTGATTCTGACCTAGCAGCAGACTAAGGTATGGTCAGTGTCATAGTCAGTGATGTGTTAAGACCTTGCATGCAGGATTTCTTAGGTGGTTGTGCCTGGTTAGTACTAAATCTAGTTGGTGCCAGTGGGCAGTGATCCTGATCGTGGATGTTTCCATGATGTCTGTCTTGTGGGTAGACATCATGAAGTAGGTGTTGGTAACATGTAGTAGGTGTTGGTAACGTGTATATTTTGACTTGTACTGGGTCCTAATGCTCGCTGGCCACTTTCATTCATGTTTCCAATTCCATGTTTGCCCAGAATACCAGGTCAGTTCTCAAAACTGCATTCAACTCTTGCACTAAAGTCACCAAATGTTATAATGGTCTTGTTTCTATGAGTTTTTTCTCAATTTCCAAGTTGTTGGTAGAACATGTTCCTGTCTTCATCGCTAGCTTGAAAAGTAGGCGCATAGACACTAAACAACATAACGAAGCTGTTGTGTGTGCGCTCTGACCGTGATGATGATGAATCAAATAGATACAGCAATGGGGGTTACTGCTGTTTGATGGGTTTGGACAGTGAGCCTGCATTAGAAGATTTATAGAAAGCCATTAAATCGACTCCTGGGAACTAGAGATCCAGCAATAACTGTTTGCCTGCTGAAATCTAAAACTGTGCCAGTGACAAATTACTTCAAAAGCTCCATGAAGCTCTACTGCTCTGTTGGAAAGAGGAAGCAGTATCATAAGATTTTAGAGCTGCTCAGTGTGTACAATTAAAAAAACAAGGAGGACAGAAGCAACCCAGTTGAACATCATCAGGAAAGTTGTCACTCGCATTATGCTACTTGATCTATTATCAGCAGGAAACCTGACCTTCAGACTGAACTAACAGAATTGAAAAAGCAGCTAAGAATTTTGGCCTCTTACAAAAACACACATGGAATAATAGCAAACTATCAATTAAAGTAAAGATTCAAATCGACGAGACTTGTGTGCAGTTACCCCTGTTTCATGGTTCAGAAATGTGGACTGCATATGCTAGGCACATCAAGAGACTGAACAGCTTCCACCTGAGATACCTGCATAAGATTCTGAAAATAAAGTGGGAAGTCAAAATGCAGAGGCACTGGAATGTATGGGACTGACACACTTAAAAACCACTATCTAGAAGAGGTGGTTGCTGTTAAATTATAAAATTGGATTCATGACAAGTGTATAAAGGATTTACATGACAACTTGTTCAATAAATGACAGAAAGGTTTTATTTACTACAACTATTCACTATTAAATTATCTTAAAGTAAAACTAAATCCAGTATATATAGTTGTAAAGTGATAGTATCTCACTAACACAGGCAAAGAGGCTGTCTTAGTCTTGTTAGCTCAAGGTGTGGATCTGTTGCCAGTGAGATCAGGTCAGCTGGGCTCAATAGCATTTTGTGTGTTGAATGATTTACTCTTGAAGTGTCCCCTGTTAGCTGCTTCATTCCTTTCTTATACCTTGCAGCTCAGCATCTTCAGCACATTCTTGTAGTTGTGTAAATAAAGAGAAAAATCTAAGCCATAACAAATGGGAAGATCCTGTTTTTCTAACTGTTCATTATTGATTATCAGAAAGTCCCAATTTTGATTGAATGACCTTCTTCAGTAATGGGAGGTTTGTCAAGCTGTACTGAGTTGCAACATATTAGGAAATTGATTAACAACTGGAAAAATTCAACATTTTTGAAGAGTTGTCCTTGGAAGATCAAGGAAACTACTGAGACAAAACAAGAGTTAATCAAGAGGAGATGCCTATCAAACCCCATATGGAGAATGTTTCTTCCCACACACAAACCCAAGTTAATTGCAAAAAAATATTTACTATAGTAATGAATCCAGGATAGACATTTCACACAGTCACATATATGATAGGGGTGCACCGATTGAGATTTTTGCATCGATTCTGATAGCTGATTTTTAAGGAGAGGCATATCTGCCAATAGCGATCCAATTTCCAATACTAGCCCAGCAGTTTGGAGAGCAGGATGGAGGAGGGGAAGGGGCATGGGGTGGGCACGGGATGGAGGTGTAGCTTGTCTGGGGGGCATGGGGAAAGTGGGTGTGGCTCTTGCCATTTGGCCGGGAGCTGCTG